TATTTTCAATTTTGTGAAATTGCAGTAAAAATTTTAAGGCTTCATTTCTCCAAGGGTATCAAAGTTTTTAATACTAAATATTTACTGAAGTTTATTTACTGATCAGTTATTGTGTTGCAATAATAAAAATAATACTACCTTATACAGAGTGTCTAAAAATTTATTTTAAATAATTATTAGCTTCAAACGGCAATAACTTGTTTAATTTAAATGGAACACCCTGTATATTTTACGAGAATCAGATGCACAACTTAATTGTCTATCAAATTATATTATACCATTTTTTACTTATCTCTTTAAGTTTCCGTAGAAAATGCATTTTCTTGTAATTTAGAACTTATTTATCAATATACCCATGGACTATCGACATTTTAGATTATTTTTAAAGATGTACCAAATTTTTAAAGAGTACAGATACTAATATTGTCGATATAATTCGTTTATTTCATTAAAAAATTTAAAAACTGTTTAAATATTTGTTAAAGAGGATCAATTAATATGATTCCAGTATTCAAACTACATTAACTGACTGTTTGCGTTGATTAATAATAATTGCTCCAAATACTAAAAAACTGAATTTTGTATGGGTATTAGACAGTGTGATAAAAAGTAACACCTTAAGAATGATATTTCATTTTTTAATAAATGCTTATTTATAACAACAGAGACTTTAATTTAATAACTTATTATTATATTGATTTCTGACTCAAATCCACATTTATTTATAATAATTTATTAACGAACACAATTAAGTATGTAATTAATTAGTATATGGGCGGAAATAATGGTGTTATATTTAATTAATGGTATACTCTTTTATAAAGATTTAAATAGTTTTCTTTTTGCATACAAATGGGCTAGTAATATTATCGTTTTGCTAAAAACGATAATATTACTACTAGTCTGTACATTTTGTACATTTGTTGCTTTAAAAACAATCTAAAATGTCAATATTCCATGGATATATTAATAAATGAGGTCTAAATTATAAGAAAATGCATTTTCTACGAAAACTTGAAGGGATAGGTAAAAAATGGTATAATACAATTTGATAGACAATTTAATTGTGCATCTGATTCTCCCAAAATATACAGGGCATTCCATTTAAATTAAAGAAGTTATTGCCGTTTGAAGCTAATAATTATTTAAAATAAATTTTTAGACACTCTGTATAAGGTGGTATTATTTTTATTATTGCAACACAATAACTGATCAATAAATAAACTTCATTAAATATTTAGTATTAAAAACATTGATACCCTTGGAGAAATGAAGCTTTAAAATTTTTACTGCAATTTCACAAAATTGAAAATATTTCAAAAACGGTAAGGTTTAAGTATAATAAACCTTAATCAAATTTACCTTTATTTTAATCGTAGAAACTAAAAATGCAATAATATACAGGGTGTTTCATTTAAAAAAATACAACTTTGATATTTTTTATTTATTTGGAACACTGTGTATCTTGTCAAAATATTTTTAAATTGTAGCTCTAATAGTCCTTCAACGAACTCAAAACTAACAATTTGTAAAAATCTAATCGTTTAGCTACAATGCTCCGTGTCGTATGTGGTGAACAACCCTGTATACATATTAAAGAATAAAAAATAAAGCTTATATATCTACAGGATGATTCATGATGATGCTGGGTTAAACATTTTGGATAACCAGTAACCTGTTTTCTGGCATTTAAAAAAACTAAGAAAAAATATTTTATATTTTAGAAAGTTTGGCGCTGAATTTTGTACACTGTATGATTTAAGATTACGATATATTGTAAATTATTATACACTCATATCTTAGGATTATGTAAAATTATCTGAACGGAAGCCAAAAATGCAATAATGTACAGGGTATTCCATTAAAAAAAATTGTCCCGATCCACTCACAGTTTTTTGAGCCACCCTGTCCAAGTTAAAATATTTTACTGAAATACATACTTTAGGCATGCACTTAAACAAAATTCCCAAGTTTTTTATCCTAGGAGCTACAGATGCCCGACTTGCTATTGCCGGACCCTGTATAAGATTCCAAATTTTCAAGGAAGTCCTATCACTGGTTCTCCATAAAAATCTAACCTATCATCGACCGGGAATCAGCCTGTATAACTTAGTTAATCACTAACAAATGTTTAATTTTGTGTACCTTTTTAAATTATGACGTACCTATATTTTCTTTGTTTATTTTTTGTTTTAAGAAGGAATTACCAATGTCGTTGAGATTTCTTACCTCAATTTAGCGTAAATATTGAAAATTTCATAACAATAATCCTGTGTATAGTTATATTTTTAGAATCTTGCGATTTAAATTTTAGTTATGGCTTTTTAATATCCTTTTAATACCTAATAAAAGTATTTCTATTTAAAATAAGTCACAAGTGTTTTATTGTTTCACTAAAATGCGCATAAAAGAAATCGCGTAATACCAACTGCTTAACGAATTTATGTTAAATAATTTTATATTTTCATCTAAATATGTACACTGTCACAGCCTATTCATTAGACAGCCGGTCAACTTTGCTACTTTTTGAGTACCCGCACTTCACCTGCCGTACCTACTGTCTGAGCACCAGTCTCGATAGTTTTTACTTATTCTTAATCGATAAATATTCGATATTTTCGAATCATTTAAGCATAGAATCCCCATTAAGAGGGCTTATAGGAGGCTTTCGTTAAAATATCGGTATTTTGATTTAAAAAATCGTAATCGTAAAGTAAATCGAAGTCGTTTGACACTATAATTCACACCATAAAGGCAAAAGGTAAATTAGGAAAAGGGAAAAATGGAAAAACTCACCGGGCAATAACAGGAATACTTGTCAGCATCACCATCACCACACCGGGAAACGAAACTTAAACCACTTGCTTTTCCTGAATAATCGTTGATTCGTTGTAGCTGGAGTTATCCGGCTCGAAGGACCATGTTCGGGGTTTAATCTAAGGTTTTTACAAACGGAGCTTTAATGGAGCTCAGAAAGCAAAAAATCAAAAAATATGTAAAGATCATAAAGCCCTATACTCACTACGCGCTGATGCGTCGACGATGTAATGCATCCATTCATGCATAGTAACTATAATGCGGTTTTGATACAATTCTTAGTTCTTTTGGAAATTTCTCGATTGTGATCATGATATTTCTCTTAATGGTTCGCCCTAAAACCGACGTTTCGTCGAATTGTCGCACATACCATCGCATCGACACATTTGCCTATCAAATCGACGCATCGACGAACCGCATCAGCGCTTAATGATGATATGGCTTAAGTCATCTGGATCTCTAATTAATAGGATGTAATACTGTACTTATTGTTTAAACAAATATTAGCAAATATTTTTAAGAATTTATTTTCGCTAGTAATACCACTAGAGGTCAAATTATTTCCGGAAATTTTTTCGAGCTCATGAATATTTTGAAAATTATCCTGAGTCGAAGACGAGATTTAATTTGACCTCGTGTGGTATTCGGTAAGAAAATTCCACACCAAATTGTGTTTGAAAATCAAATAATTAAAATGTATTTTTCGATTTTTGGTCGAATTGATTATTTAGTTACTATGACAACTAAGTGACACCCAAACGTAAAACAAGATAGATATGAAACTTAATAGTAAAATTTTGGGTCTAAAGCGCCCCTCCGTGTTCTTAGTAGAGACTACGTTTAACCCAGCGCCTTCGCCTTTTCTGCTGTAAATATTTTTTATGTTTATATTTGATTTCAAAGGATTTAGTTTTAAAGTTACACTGATATATTAGTATATCAGAGTAACTTTAATAAAACATAAGAATATAGATATTTTACAGTTTATTAAATATAAATTTTGACTACAAGGTAGAAAGTAAATCACAATATTTGATAAAACTTACAAGTATACCATTTTTAGAGTTAATAAATAATAAAACTATTTCTGACTATGATATTTAAAATTTAGATAGATAGAATATTAAAAAACATACCGGTATTTGCAGACGCAGGCCCAAATTCAATAAAAACCAACATTTTTCCTGCGAAAATCGGGCTTTTTTCACAGAAAAGGTATTTTTTGATTTATCAACAATCATTGTCAAGTTGACAATATACAGGGTGTTTTCCAATTAGTCTAAAAATTGTGGTGTGATTCCTCATGTGTTCTTAAAACAATTTTTATATAGCCATTGGGTCTAAAGTACTTCCCTTCTGATCTACAGGGTGTTAAAAATTAAAAAAAATCGATATTTTGCTTAACATAAATGGTACACCACTGCTTTTTTAAAGAAACTATATTTTTTTCTTGGCTGGCCATCCTTTTTCAACAAAATTGATCTTTTGATTTTTCTTGTTCAACGGTTGTCGAGAAAAAAATAAATATACTTATTAAGAGTCCGCCTTAAGCCGTTTTCTAACGATTTTTTATTTTTCAGATTAATTAGGAAACACTCTGTATATGCATATCACAGGCAACCAAATAAACTAGTAACCTCTAAAAATTATTTTTCCTACCACTAGCGACATACCGTGTTTTAGTGAGTACTAAATTATTTTATCAAAATTTCACCATATAAGTTTCCAGGCAATGAACCTATTTCAGTTTTGAAGCTGTCAAGCGGCACGGCTTAAAAAAATGTTCGCTTCGATCATGAAAGCAATCGCAAGATTAAGCAGTTGACACCCGCGAATACTAGGAAATCGAAGTCAAGCGTATGGAAGCAGTTTACAAACTTTCATCTCAGCTTTGTAATTGAAATGTATCAAAATTATCATGTAAACAAATAAAAACCAGACTCTCAAAAAGATATTCTGTCATTATAAACGTTAAAAAATTTCCAGTATAATTCGCTGTTGGGTACCCACAAGGAAAAAAATTTCACTAAAATTTATCCGTTGCCATGGTGATTTGTCAAAAAAACACGTTTTTACTGGTTAAAAATTACAGGTGTGGAATTTTCAGGGATATTTGAAAATTATGAATTTCTTTATGTTATATTGATCGGATAGTATCTAAAGAATGCTTATTTTCTTTCCAGGTTTTTCCATAAAACCCAAAATTCTAGAAAGACCTGAAACCACAGAAGATATTATTATCGACACGGGGAGTAACTACAATTTGACATGTCAAGGGAATAGGCCGCTGCAATGGACTTATCCACATATGGTATGTAATGCATATCTACATATAAATAAAATACGGTAAATAATAGCTAAATCTAAGTCCCTAAGTCGCCCCTAAGTCTAAATATTTTTTTTTCTTTCACGAAACAAAGAATTTGATTTTTTAAATATTATATGTTATAAAAATATGTTGGTATACCCATACCTCAGCGTCATATGTATAGATTCAAGACTTATATATTGGAATCCGTTATTGCCTGAAAGGCCTAGTCGTTTCATGGTAACAGTGTAACTCTCGATTGGTACATCGTTTGACTGGGGATTCCAGGTATTCTCTGTAATGACGGAATTCTCTGAGTGAAACCCAGTGATTAATTAAATCATTTCACTGAAGCTTCTTTTATAACCTCGAAATTATTGGAATAAATTAGTGGTTTCAATTAGCGTAGAAGTTTGTTCCCCTAATGTCAATGTAAGCATTCAGAACGTCAAAATTAGTGGTGGTAATTTTCAAGTTGTAGAAAAAGTTGACAAACTTTTAACTTTTTCCACTAATTATTATAGTTCAAAATTTGCGAGTTTATGTCAATTTGCCTTTTGATTATCAATTGTCAAGAGAAATTGTTGTTAAACATAAAACGTTCATTGTTTTATAAGCTATTACCGCAAGCTGTGCTTGAATACTCTATTAATTTTAATTGTATTTTTTAGACATTGTGAATGATTGTAAACTCTTAAGTATAAAGTAGAACTGAAACCACTAATTTACTACTAACGTTTCGATCAGATGTACCTATCACTAACCGTTATTAAGTATAAACTAATCTACTTCTTAAAACAACAGAGCTTTTGTACTAGAGCACAGAGTATAAAAGCTCAGTACTTTAATTATTTGATTTTTGGGACAATATTTTGGGAATAACTATTTGAGAACAAGCAAACACTAGAAGAATGCATCTTTCTGAAAAAGTTAATAATAAAAAAATTCCACTTGTAAAGACAATACGGAGACATACTGTATAATAATATATTTTTTTAGAACAACGCGGCCAAAATACAAGAAAGCGGGACAATTATTAATATAATCACGTCCACAGTTCCCCAGAACGACGTGTATTTTTACCGCTCCTTTCTGGACATTTCCAACATGTCATATATGATGGTTGGATATTACACTTGCTCCTATGAAGATGAGGAATACAGCGATAGCGATCAGATATACTTATACGTAAATGGTAAGTTAAAACTGGTACTATAGTCTGTCCCAAGGACTGTATATATTCTAAAGGACTGTTCGATCCCGTCAAATCGCCGCAGTCGTAGTCGCCGTGGAATGCTACGTCACGCGCTGACCAGCGCTCCACAGTGCGGCGGATGGTTATTCTAGCGGGACAAAATCTCAAGAGCAATGTTTGGGACTTAAAATCTAAGAACTTAGCAAATGGTCTAATATATAGCAACTATATGGTTCAATTTATTTATTTATTAACAACTTAATTTATTAATAAATAAATACAAGATAATAAAACTATGATATTATTCGTACATGACACACAAAAACCGTATTGTAAACTATTGCCAAATACATAAAATTATGATATCAAAAAACTCTTTAGCAGTTTTTTTTTATTAATTTGTAATCTTGTGACACTATAATTTATTTTAAAAAAATATATTTTATTTTGAAAATAATAAATAAGATAGATATTTTAATTTTAATTTTAACACTCGGTAATTGTAAATTCATATATAGTAAGTATCTAAGACAGTTTTTTTAAACTCAGTGCTTTTTGATGGAGTTGTTTTGTTTTTATACTATCCGATTGAAATGAATCTTTTTGGGCATTCACCTGTTAAGCTTGAACTCCCTGTGACTGTGACTACCTGTGTTGGTAACTATTGGTAACCCAAAAGATCTACATCATTCAATATATCGATATTTGAAAAAAAAAGTGAAAGTTTGGTATCTGCAGAACAAAGGCACGAAGGATTTTAACAAATAATATACGTACAGTAGGAAAATACATACCTTTAGCAATCTTCAACATAATTTGGCTTTCTAATAAAATGTATAAGCACTTGTAAATATTTTGTTTCGTATGATCTCTGCCTTGCTGAGCAGAAAACGACCAAATTTGGTTGATAAAAATGTATCCAAATACAAAGAATATAAATGCATTTTTGTATCAATTGGAATGTCTACTATTTATACTTATTAGTACACATTTTTTGGCTTATTTCTAACCAAACGCTTTTGTCCCGCTAAATTTATCTTCCAACCAGTTATTCCAAGTTATTATTTTTTTCAATGTCATCAAAAACAAATTAAAAAATTAATTTGCATTTTACCACTGATTGATGCATTCTGCAATAATTACTTAATAACTAATATGTTCTGTTACTAGATCCCAATCATCTGTCGGTAGATGACAGTAACTATATAACACACTATGCTGTCCAGTATACAGAAACCGTAATTCCATGTAAACCCACAGCACCTGATGTCAGCGTGAATCTAACAAACGGCGACGTAAGTATTTAAAAGTATAAAACTTATTTTAAGTCGCTTAAATAACTTAAACATGTTTTGTACTGAAGCAATACGTGATAAATGAATATAACTGGATGAAATTGAACACGCTTTGTTAACAGAGTCAAAATAAATTGGATCCAAAATTTTGTTTTGAAAGACTAATCTGACTTAGACTTTGGTGCCAAATGTTAGAAATTAACTTATTAAACCTAACTTAATGCCATTACTCGCTAACGAGTATTTGACACGCATCAGAAGATGGTCACGCAAGGCGTTTTCTTTCATGCTTTCTTTCTTTCTGTGATTAGAATTTAGAATGAGTGGGAGGGGGGTTAATCACTGCGACCTTACAGATCCATTGTGTCCCCCCCCCCTTTCTTGAGTCATAACTCATCATACAGTCCCAAGGCTTTGACAAAAGCCAGTATCTGGGACGGTTTTATAGAGGGTAGTTCTCCATCTCCAATATCAGTCGTACCAAAATTCATGGCACGAATGGTTGTCGTCTCGGCGCACTCAGTGATGAGGTGTACTGGTGTTTCCCCATCTTCCCCACAGAATCTGCATTCGCCGTTTCTTCTTAGTTTCAATCTACTGAGGTGTTCATTGAGGAGACAGTGTCCTGTTAAAAACCCGTGACAATCCGAAGATTGTTCTTACTTAAACCCAGGAAGATCTGTGATTTTTCTTGATCATAAGCCCTCAGAAACTTCTTCGAGTGTCTTAGACCGTTGCAAGATTTCCATTCCAGGTTGCGGATGGAATCTTCCAAGTTCTTGAGTTCCGCCTTGAGTTGGTTACCACTTGGAAAGTTAGTGGAGTGTTCGCTCCTTTCCTAGCTAGATTATTTGCTTTTTCATTGCCTTCTATCCCTTGGTGAGCAGGCACCCAGAGTAGGAGGACTTTGTTTTCTTTGCCTAATTTATTCAGCTTCTCTATGCATTCTTTGACCAATTTCGAATTGATTGATACTGAGTTGATCGCTTTTGATCGCTGCTTGACTATCAGACAAGATGAATATTTCTTGTTTCCGATAGTTCCTATCTAAGATAAGTTGTACGCATCTTTCGGTTCGAGTATTTAGTTCTCGGCCCAAACACTCCGATCCCTGTTCCCGTATTGGTTTGGAAGCATCAGTATACCAAGTTATGGTATGGTCTTTTAACTGCTGGGCAAACTATCTCTTTCTTTCTGTGATGCTATCTCTCTACCGCAGTCGCTGACATTCAAAAATTTCATTGCTTTGTTGCCTCTTTATACATTTTTACGTTTACAATTCTTCTCCATTGCGTTCTATTGTGCACTGCTTTATCTTATTACCATAAAATCTGCTAGTCTTACTTTTATCTTTTAACATTCAATAAATAAATAAACGTGTTCAATTTCATCTTGTTTGTTAAAACTGAAACTAACTTTTCCTTTAGGTATAATTTTCAAATCAAATATTTTTTCAAATTGTGCTGAATAGGCTAATGCTCAATGCTACATTGAACAGAGTATGAATTATTGAAATGTGGAGTATCCAGTAAAAATTACTTTCTTTTCTAGTTTTTCTCGATAATTTTGGCAAGGTCAATCTATAGACGATACTTACTCAAAATTGACATAAAACTTGTCAAAAATTAACAATATTTATAGAAAGATTAAAAACAGGATAGAACACAAATCTATTTTCAAAAAAATATATTTTATGTTGAATTTTAAACTACACCATTTAAAAATCATTTTTACTCAATATAAAAATAAATTCCGACCTTCCTAAGGCCAACTGGTAGTACGCGCCATTAAAAAAAAGAATAGTACGGGCTAGTGATGGGCATTATGATTCTTTTTAGTGAATCGAATCACACGATTCAATTTCTCATATTTAATCGACTCCTACGATTCGTTCACTTGAACAAACCACATGCACAATTTACGTTTTATAAAAAGAAGGTCGTAACTGGCTCTACTGGTGATAATTTGGTAGGACAATTACTTAAGGGACCCAGAAAAAGAAATATACAGTTTTTTCATTTGTTTTTCAACACTTTATGACACTGGCGTCATTGGATTGATTATTATTTTACCAATAATATTAAATTATCAATCCAATTTATATATACTATTTATTAAAGATTTCTTAATACCAATTTAATATTTTTAGAGCCATATTTTAATTCCGATTTAATAATCATAATCAATAGTAATAAAATAGCGTCCAATTGGCTTGGAAATGAACATCGATGACATTCCCCATATAATTTTACATATAAAATGACAGCGATCTTCATTTTATAACCATCGCTGACGCCGTTTTTTTATCACATTGAGCAGAGGCCAACAATATTTATTTGGAGTTGAATAAAAACACGATTTCGTCTTTTAGTCCGACATTTAATAGTCGGTAATATTATTTTAACAAAAATATTAACGTGAAAATTAAATACCTTACAGATACTCCCGTACTAAGCACAGTATAAAAAGTTTTTTTTCTTGTAAATAACTTTCTAATCGTTTGAATCTTATGCCCATGATGTTTGTTTAGAGCTTTTGTTCAAGTCTAAATATTGGTGCCTCACTCTAAGCCTATATCACCATCGCGCCGTAGAAACGAACGATCGCATTTTCGCGATTCTTTTTTACGGCTCAGCGTTCAAATCTTATGGATCCGTGCCGGCCACGATTCAATTGAACGAACCGTATTGTAAGCAATGAATCAATTCTCACGAGCGACTCTTTGAACGCACGATCGCATTGTGATCCGATTCAATTCTCACTATTCTATTTTACGGCTCATCATTCAAATCTTATAGATCCATGCTGGCCACGATTCAATTGAACGAATCGTATTACAATCAATGAATCGAATCTTACGATTTATTTTTAATACTCGTTCAATTGAACGACTCGTTCAATCTTTGCCCACCTCTAGTACGGGCCAAGTAAATGACGTGTAGGGCTTGACCTCACCAAAATTATCATCGGTTGTCATTCTCTGCCATCTCTGACGCCGTTTTTTCCACCGTATTGATTAATATCTTCATATATTCAATACTGATGAAATAGAATAATTTTTACTGGATGCTTAAATGTTTCTGTCGGTTGATTTTAAAACTAACCTTCTGTACTTCACAGAAGCACCTAAAGAGCGGATCGTTTGATCCTCGAAGGGGTTTCGTTGTGAGTGACGTCGACGAAATGGAGATACTAATATGCTTGTTCTTTAGGGGGACTAAATCGGAGCGAAATGTCGTACTGCTCAGCATAGAGCGTAGGTTTTACTTTTTTTGATACAGAAATGGCGTAACTTGTTGAAGCAAACTACGTTTAACATTATTCTTCGATGACCCAAGTTACCATTTACCGTAAGATATCAGTAATAAAGACATTATTTTAGGCTTAGAAGTGACATTCAGTTTGAGCTGAATTATATCTATCAAAGCTCTTGGCAATTTCAGTTGTTTATGATTTATTTAAGGTCTTTGTTGAACATTAAAATGTAGAAAAAAAAACACTTTTCAAACAAAAGAAATTATTTTGGTAGAAACTTTTTTTTATAATTCTGATATCCAAATTACATTTTTTTTGAAAATAGCAGCATTGTTCTTAATAAAAGCGTTGATTGAAAGAATTAAGAAGATACGCAACCTAATGAGTGAATTCGTGGCAAGGCTGATTTGATTTCCTTTTATGTCTCAAGTGCTGTACGGTGGAGACACCAATCGTTCTGTAGCCAACGCATAAAACACTTATTTTCTCTAATTCGACCAGCGAAGGCATATCTAAGACGGTGTGGAACTGAAAGCGACAGTGTTGCCATATTAAAATGTGTAATATCTGTAATATGTTTGACGAAAATATTTTTGATGAAAAATCCGCGTTTATGTATTGAAATTTTATTCGTGTCAAACATAGAATAAACAACAAAAATAAAAATTCATTTATAGGTGCTAAATAATATGTCGTATGATCGAAAAAAGTCGTTTAGTTGGCTTATTGACATTTATCATTATATTTTACATATGAAATAACAGCGATCTTCATTTCCAAGCCAACTCTGACGCCGTTCTTTGTTCAATCATACCGTGCTAGCAACTTTTGAGTCGGTATTTGCATGTGTAAAAGAAAATCGCATTGGGATCTTATGAAGTCGGAGTGAGAGAAATGCGACGGTGTGCTGTTGCGGCGTTGCCGGTACGCGTTTCTCTCAAGTAAAGTAAAATCACGATCGCAAACTGCTTATTTTTAAAAGATTTTTAAAAATTCGAGATATTTTCGATAGATTTAGAGATTTCGAGATATTTTCGATGGATTTAGAGATATAGATTTTTGAATTCAGAGTTCTAATAGCGCGACCACTGTCGAACACCCACTCAATTCCACTTGTTTTTACCAAAAATACAAGTGTTTCTAACTTGCACTTAAAATTTTTCAAGCTATAGGGAAAATTACAACGACTCCTTAATAAAAATAAACAAAAATTACGACTCCTTAATAAAATAAACAAATAAAGTATCACGTGACGTAATTAAATCGTGAAGCTGAACGCATGATGTACACATTTTCCTAGAACTTTAAGTACTGACAGAGGTACTCATTGAGGCGACTGGTCGACTGCGACAAATCTGCTATATCCCCTTCCACGTCTCTGAGCAATGCGCAAAGTTTCTCGGTTTATTTCATTCGTTTGGCAACGTGTTTACTCTTCTCTCTTTGTTGAGTATATTATAAACGCATTGTACTCTTCTTACATATGGAAATCTCGATCCAAGACTAACCTTTGCCAGCCCTTAGTATAATATTATATTAAATTGTTTAATGATAGAAAACCTGTATTATTAACGTACTATTAACGTACATATTATCCTTATTATCCGTATTATTATCTTACTGTACCCAAAAATCCCCAAATCTACGGATTAATCGGCAGTTCTGGCAACACTGTCTCCGGAAATCACTCTCTCTGTAGACTGAAAGCAGAACTATGTTACAGTATTCTTTATCCGCTGCGGTGCAGACGACTATCAGCGCGCAGCGGCGCACAGCTAAACTAAATCTCGGACAGGCTGACGCAATCTACATCTCGGACATGTTTTGTGCCACGAAATCGCCCATAAGGTTGCGCATCTTTTTATTTCTTCAATCGACGATAAAAGTAATAATTGTCTTGTAGTGTGTTTTTGATGATCTAAAAAACTATTATACTCTATTCAGTTCTAAAAAGCGTAGTTGCTTCAACAACAAAAAGACAAATAAAACCAAATGAAAGGCAAGCAAAAAATATTACTTTGTGTCAAAATTTAAGTTGTTTTTGGAAACCTACAAGTGGGATATTTTTTCTTTTTAGAAATTAAGGTTTACTTTTGATTTTGTAGCAAATACAATATTGTAGCGTCCGTCATAACTTCAATGTTCTAAAAAGTCTAATGAATGAAAACATTACTAAATTAAAATTAATCATTTTAAGCGGATAAAGACATCCTATCGACCTAGAAATATATTCTGTTTAATTTAAGGTCTTCTGAATCTAAATAGGAAGCAGTTTTATGTATATTTTTGTGTCAAACTAAACATATTTAGTAGATAATGTTTTATTGTTACTTTTTCAAGAATCCGCGTTTTTTTTTTCAAGAATCACACTAAAATGTGTAATTTCTTATTTTATTTACAGCTACATTCCCTCTGTACTCTGTATTATCGACTTTCTTACAAAAAACATATACAAGGTGTCCAAGAAATAAGTGCAAGTATTTTAACTAGTAGTATAGTTCAACCCCAGAAAGACGCCTATGAGGTTTTTTTGCGAAAAAAACATTTTTGAAAATTCGGAATTTTGTGAAAAAAATTTTGGATTTTTTTAAATTTTTAATTAAAAAACATAATTTCTTGATAATATGGCAACATAGGTAGTAGGTTAAATTTACAAGAAATAAAATCCAGAAAAGATCCAGTGGTTCTCAAAATTTGAGCAAAAAATCATTTTTTCTGAAAATTTCAAAATAAAATAATTCTGTTATTTTGAACTTATTTGGAAAACGATAAAGAGAAAATATGTTTCTTTTATGGAGATCTACCACCCCTTAAAATACTTGCTCTAATTTCTGGGACACCCTGTATAACCCTCAACTGGCGATGACATGGTGAATTTTTATATCGCTTACGGCGTTCTGGGAAGGACCTAGGGTTGCCAAATGCCTCGCTTTAGGCGTGATTATCACGCTTTTCGACTTGCTGCCACGCGCCACGCCAAAATATCCCAATGCCCCACTTTTTAAATTCAAGGAGAAAAGGCGGTAAACTGTAAACAGACCGTGGGAGACCCTTAGAAAAGAAGGAGAGAGCGCAAGAAGTCCGTCAGAAAACGCCTAATAATTGTTTAACCGGACAACCGGCAACGCCGCGCACCGTCCTGTTTTCTATTGTTGTCGAGGAGGGAGAGTACAGCATGCACTAGTGTGTATGCGTCTCTTTAGGAGACTTAGCTAATAAAGGATAGAAATTCAGCCAGACTCTCGCGCGCTCTCTTCCAATCAAAAATACTACTTCTTTGACATTTTGTATTTTTGAGACTTGATGTTAATATATCTGTCATATAATTTACAAAGTGCTTTTTTTATTAGGCTCTTAACTAATAAAAAATAATTCCCCCATTTAACAAATTACTTAATTAATTAAATTTTCTACAACCTAACCCCCCTCACACACACACACAACTTAACCCCCTCGGTTGCCACGCTTTTCCCTATCGTCAATCTGGCAACCCTAGACCCCAATTTTTTATTCAGTTAAAAATAAAGTGTGAAGAGATTTTATAAAAAAATATTATTTTAACACTGTTTACTGTTTCCAATTATATTCTAACTTGTAAACTAACAATTTCATTCGTTTTAAATAAATTAATAAGAACGGACACAAAAATAAAGTAAAACGTATTTTCAGGAATTTTTGACAACAGAAATATAGCTTGGCTAAGAAACCCATTGAAATTAAAAACATAATATATATTTTATGATTTTCCCGTATTATTGTAAGTACAAACAACTGAAATGTGAAGCTAAAGTAATAAAAATAAATTATTTTCAACAAAACTGCAACCTTGGATTGTACATAACTTTTTCAAATACAGTTCATGCTAACATAGGATCTGAAGTTGTCGCACCTGGATCATGCACATTTGATTTATGAGGTTTTTTGGTTTTTGTCGTTTCTCCGTTGACAAGTACCACATCTCTTTCGTTTCTGGTATTGATTATTCAATTTTCTCTCTTCTACAAATAAGAGATTCAGAAACGGAGGTATGGTTACTCTTCGGAGAAAAAACAATATCCCCGATGATCTTCATATCATTTAAGTCTTTTTAAGTTCATCAAACCACTCAATTAATGTTTCCTCAAAATTAGCCTCCCCGTGACGCATAATTTTTGGACTACCCACCATCCTAATAATGAAACATTCTTAGCGTGGTGCCCCAATGAAACTTTACCCCCCGGTGGTAGGAACAATACTTGATAAAAATAAGTGCACCTTTAACACTTGCATATGGGTACTCTAACTTAGAAGTAAATAGCGCGGCCTAAATGTTAAACGTAAAATTTTTACAGAAGTTTAAATAGTGCTTGGGGTCCGCTAGACCCCACTACGGCAGCTGAAGGATAATATGCAGGGTGAGTTTTCTCGGAAACTACTGGAGATAGAGAGTCGGTTAAATGGGGAAAAAATTGCAGTTTTTTGGGTCATAAATATACGCCTTTCGGATTTTTCAAAAAGTTCATGGCTTACTAAATATTTCGAAAAAAAACAAATTTTGGCAATTTTAAAACTTTTCCCTAATTCCATTATAATTACATATTATAACATTTATTTTAGACAAAAAGTTTTTCAGATAAAAGTTGTAGATACTCACATACCTAATGAGTTTGTGTTTTCTGATTTTTTCTAAAACCTGTCATTTTTGATATATGACACAAACATATGTTTTTTAATAAAAACCATAGTTGACCATGACTTCATAAAAATCGCCATATTTTAAGCTTTTCAGAAATATAAGGTATAATATGTTTATTTCGAAAAATTACTGAGTGATAGCCAATTTTATCTTTCGTGACTAATTTCTCTTAGTTGGTATGGTATTCTTATTCTGTTATGATTTATTACTTATAAAAAGACAGAATATATTATTAAACGGTTCTTTACAATTTATATTATGCAAACTAAAACTTAAAAAAAAATATCACTACCCCATACACTCCCGTACCGCCTCTTCGTGTGCCT